TTGTTTAGCTGAGTCAAGTCGAGCTTGTCAACTTGTTTGACAGACGCAAACGCAAAATTTGGTTGTTCAAAAATTAATGAACGCCCAACCAATTTGCGTTATGCGTGAGTCGCCCAATTTGTAAATAGACCCCCCCTCCCCCCCCCCCCCCCCCTCCACCCACTCCACTGTCCCAGCAGATCCTGCGGACTGATTACTTTATCACTCGCACTCGCTGACTGGATCAATACTCAAGACCGTTAAGAATAATGCAAGATATGGTCTATTTTTGGTCTATTCGAAGTGGATTCGTGTCAAGAATGCTTGGCGGTTCGATGGGAAACTCTGTTAAAATCTATCAAATCCACCCATTTTTCGGACCGTCGATAAAATTTCTTAAAAAATATAAATATTTAGTAGCAATATACAAATGTATGAATGATTTTAATAGATTATTTCGATAGAATCTATTTGATTTTCAAAAATACAAAATGTATTAAAAAAATACACAATAATGTTTAAAAATGTATAAATTATATAATTTATAACATAATATTGAATTGATTTATTGAATAGAAAAGTTCAAATATTATTAAAAACCTCGTTCCGAAATGGAAAACTGTGTCACAAAATGTATTTATTTGTCAGCATGGGTGTTTCTATATTTAATGAATAATTGTTTATAATTATACAGTATGATTTTAACATCATTCTTTATACTTTCAAGGAGTTCTTGAGTTCACAATTTTCTTCCAGTCCGCGATTTACAATATCCCAAATAAGAGTATAATAACTAACAGGCGTCTTATACTCATATCTTATACGTCCCTTTTCTTTACATTTGATAGAATATAAGTGACCAGATCACGCCGAAAGCGACATTTGTGACGTCAGCATCAAATACGACAAACGAACGGGCGGAAACCGGCAGGCTCATCTGTTAATATCAGTAAGATATAGGTCCTAAATCGAAGATAACTTCTGCAAGAGTTTAATGAATTTTGTTTCTCTTCTTCGGCAATGCTTTTGCTTTTGTTATTTACATGTCATTTACGCTATGCAACAATTAATGTCTACGATAAATCATGTTCTTATTGATATCTTATGCAAAATAAGACAAAATGGCATTTCGCCTTAAGCCGACAAAATAAGGCATAAATAAATCGCGCCTTCGACTCATTTATTCGCATTCGATATCGTCTGTTCGAATCGATATGCTCTCTTCCATTGAAGTTCGAAACTCGAATGTAGGAGAGACGGGAGACGGCGAATATGCAAAATCAGTTGGAAACCGTTTCATAGCAGCTAACATTGTCGGAAGAGAATGTGAAATGTGTGCAGTGTGTGCAAAGTGTGTGTAGTGCAGTGTAGTGTGTGTAGTGTTGTGTTTTTAATTTCCAAAAACTTAGCATAGCTAACCAAAAGAAAAATAAATGTGCAAAATATAGTTCACATGATCGCCGTTGGCGTACGCGAAGTCGCTTTAAGCGCATAATTTCTGTATTCCGTTATGTGTGCGTGTTTGTGTGTGTGTGTGTGTGTATTAATTGGGATTTCTTTTGTGTTTGGCCAAAAGAATGTGCAACGCGCATTTAATTTCCTTTTATAATGCGTCAATTTATTTTCCATTGAAAGTTTTTTTTTCTGTTTTCATACCATGCATTGCGCATCACCTTGTTAATTGCCAGTTTGTATATACATACATACATTCATATGTGCATGCATATTTTAATATATACATATACATACATATATGCACATACAAGGAATGCGAACTTAAAGAGAGCGAGAGAGAGCGAGTGCAAGTCAAATCATGTGCCGTTTTTTTTTTCTTTTTTTTTCTGTGTCCTTTTGGTGCAGTTCGTAAAGAATTTATTCCAACGAATTGTCGCCGAATTACATCAATGGAAGGCATGAAGGTATGTATGCATGTATGCATGTATGCATGTATATATGTACATATGTATGTTTGTATTAAAAGGGCAAAGCAGAATTAAGAAGAGATTGCTATTTTACTAACACCCTCTTGAGCCTGGCCAAGTGGGGTATATTTATGTAAGTATACCTCGTATTAAATATGGAGGCTAGGCTGTTTTTAGGTGTTATTGGGCTTTGTACTCGAAGGCAATATTATTACAAGCCCACAACATTTTTAAATTACGCATAGCTATTGAGCTAATAAATAACTAACCAACTAATCAATAACTTTAAAGTTATGAGCTTCTCGAAGATTATGTGTAGGCGGTTGATTGGTTTTTCCTTGTGTTGGGAAAGGGATTTAACAATTTTGATGTATTGTTGAATCATTGCATAATTGCATTGCGGCAAGTTTGCGCGTATTACCGTGCAGACCCTACAGGGTATTTTCGCTACGGTTTCACTCGCCAAACCATCAAGAGCCAAAACACAAACGGTCAGATCAAGTTACACAGACCATAAAGACGCCCACACAAGCTAGAGTACATTGTAGACTCGATTCTAGATTGTCAAACAAAGCAGACGGGCATTCAGACGTGCTTTAGCTCAGCATGCAGGGTATCTGCCAGTCGGGCATACCCGATTAGCGCACTCTTACTGTTGAGCTGAGGAAGCAGAAGGAAGAAGAATTGCATTAGCTGCTCAGATTGTGTCTTTGCAGCGCCTTTGCGTCACACAGGGTATCTGCCAGTCGGGTATACTCGACTCGCTTCGATTTGGTATCGTGCGCATTGACAAACGTCTTTTAATTAATGCGAGATCTAATTGAAAAACAGATACGCACGCCACAGTCGCTGCAATATATTCAGTCGGGTGTTGCGGCTGTCTGTGTGTGTGTGTGTGTGTGTGTGTGTATCAGCGGTGTTAATTGAAATTTAATCTAGGCAACACGAACGCAGCTCAAGCTCTGCGAGTTGCGAATGTGTGTCTATGTTTGTGTGTGTGTGTGTGTGAGTGTGTGGGAATGAGTACGGGATATCTGTGTTATCGGCCAGTGGCAGTTGGCGGCACAGATTAGAAACATTTGTGCGTCTAAATAGCTGGATGTGGTACGTGTATCTCATGGATACGGATGCGCGCTTTCTTTCTAAGTCTTTGCCAATCATTTTCCCAGCCTCCGCGTCGCTCGTGCAGAACGTTTTCAGTAAATACTTGTAATGCGTATCTCTGTTTCTTCTTTTCGTCGTCGTCGTTGTTGTTGTTGTTGTTGTTTTTGTTGCTGGTGCCTATCTGCACTTGAATATCTATCAGACTGTTTGAGGCTTTGAGCTGCTTGTTCGGGTTAGTTGGACAGTTGGCCGTTTGCTGGTCGATTCTGTTGTCGCTGCTTTAAATCAATTGCCCAGTCGTGCCATTAATTTCTCAATGCATGTTTCTATGGATGCCTTTGCTTGCAACGTTCAACATTCAACGTTCGCTTTAATTTATTTTGTCTCCTCATGCGAGTGCCAGTCGATGCTCGATGCAGTGCGTTAGCCCAAAGGCCAAAACCAAAAGCCAGCTCTCAATAGCAACTAAAAGCCAGAGTTACAGTTGCCGCAGTTGCTGCAATGTGGGTTGCTTACATTTCTTTTAATTTATTTGAGTTGCGATTGATTCGCTTTTCACCGGGCCGGGCCACATGCGACTTCTGACTTGTCTAGATACAAATGTATCTTTGTGTGTGTAAATGTATCTGCTGCTGCTGTTCGCCTTGTTTGGCTCCTCATTAATGCTACAACAGTTGCAACAGTTGCACAATGACCAACTGCACATATGCTTCACTGCTTTACGACTGCCCAATGCCCTTAAATTGACGCCCCCTGCCGTCCTGTCCTTCCCTCTTTATTGAGAAATAGTAACCCAAATTGGTTAAAATTTTAACAATCACATACATTTTGTACAACATTCGTGCTTCTTTGACTTTTACTTTGTATTATATGTTTTTTTTTTGTGAAGATAAAAAGTTTGCCCTGTTCAAGATTAAGTTCATAAAATCATATTCCAATTACCATTGTATCAAGTGAGATGTTTCTATGATAATAGCTTTGTAACTGTCCTCTTATATGAGAGCTTCATAGATTTCCTATAAAAGTCATAAATAAAGCTAGTTTTAATAACAAGTTTTACTTTAAAGTATTGAATCCAGCTGTTAATGGCTTAACATCTAATTATTTTGTTTCTGTTCCTTTGATGGCTTGATTATTATTTTTTATTTCCAATGTATTTTGGGGCGTATACGGATTTTAACTTTTTTTTTTTTTAAAAACACTATCCTATACTAAAAAATGCCAGCCTCCTTGTATCATAGTACTTGCCATTTAAATTATTTAAAAAAAAAATAGTTTTAGTTATGAGTTTCAGAGTTTCTGCCACTCGGTTTCTTTTTCGGCTAGAATCTGTAAAAGCTCCTTAAGTTTTTTATGCAGAAGGTTTTCGGCATATATTTATGTGCATTTGGCATGCTAAATTATTTGAGCTGCGAATATCTTTCATATCCTTACAATAATAGATAGATCATTAATATATAGTAAAAGTTGAGAGTGTGGTCCCTGGAGAAGACATTTAACATTGTTTCTCCCTCTGATTCTATTTTGTTTTTTTTTTTTGTTTTTTTGTTGAACAACTATATTATACAGCTGCCATAGGAACGCTTGGTCGAAAAGTTGGTTCTAAATATTCTGTTTTCCAAGATATTTTCGTCAAACTCAGCATTTACGAGCTGCAATATTCTCACATATTTGTAAAACCGTAAGGCGAATGTTTAAGAGGGTATTAAATCTTCGGCGGAAGTTATACTCACTTGCCAGATTGAATCCCCAACTCATTTTACAATTGGCTATACGAAAGTTAAGTATATAAAAACATATCTGCATATTTTTGGGCGCATTTGGCATGCTAAACTATTGGAGCTAACAAACCTTAAGCATCTCATAGACGATAATAACTGCTTGGAAATAAAAAAGAGAGTATATGCTAACGATAATAGATACATCATCAATAGAAGTATAAGTTGAGTAAAGCCCACTGATTCTATTGATTTACTATAAAAGTGAATAATGGAGTTTACTAAAATGTCGTATATTTGATAGACTTGTATATATTATTGTAAACGAAACTTTTACAATTTTCAATAGCTCTTGGGTCGTATAAGCATTTTCACTTTTTTCAACGAGACGAAGCCATCCCAAAATATGGCATCCCTTCTTTCCACCTCATGATCATAATATTTGCCATTTAAATTGCTACAAAGAAAGCAATTAAATTTCAATAATTCTTTTTTTTTTTTGTCGGGAATTCATACCTTCCTGTACAGTTATTGTACCACCAGCCACCACAAAATTTGTCTTTACTTGCGCAGTGGCCACTCCAAGCATCATTATCACGATCGAATGTGCTGAATTTCATGTTTCTGTGGAAATGCAAGAATTCTTCTGTTCCATTGCCCTCAACTTTACCTAAGGTGATCAGTCTGTATTGATCCTCCTCGCCAGCGATGGCAAATTGTTTATATCTGAAGTACTTGATGATACCATCAAATCTTTCAATGTGTATGTAGAGCTCATGGGGTTGGGCGCTCGTCAAGCGATGAATTTTCTCTAGTCCTAAGAAGAAGTCACCATCAAAAGCACCAAATCCGTTGCGGTATGTGGCCCAATTCCTAAAGAAATCCTCCTTACCATTGATTCTCTGTTGGATAACCGTCCAGCCAGGACCTGCTGTCGCACTGTCGCAAAGTGCATCGAACGAATCTTTGGTAATAATTTTGTGAATACCCGGGGCATCTCCAAAGGGAGTGCATCCACCGGGCTTATCTTCATAGTTTTTTAATTTATTGGTTAAGTTGTTGATTTCATTTTTGATTTCGGATATTTGTTGGTCCTTTTGATCGATTGACTTCTTTTGTTTCTCCAGCTGCTCTTCAAGGTCCTGGACTTTCAAGGCATTGGAAGTGGGTTTACCCATTTCCTCTTTTATTGATAATACGTTCTTCGTTAGCTCTTTAAGTGCCTCGATGACGAATTCATTATGTTGGTTAAGTTTTTCCTGTAATTGCTTGATTTCTCTATCTTTGCCTTCCATTTTATTGTTATTGCTTTCAATTTCCGTCTTCATCTGATGTATATACTTTAATAATGGTCTAATAGCCTTATAGGTATGCTCTCCACATTCCTCCTCTGCTTTTCTGGCTGCCACACAAGACTTATAGGAAAGTACTCTTTATTTTCTGCAGTGCACACAGACATTGATAAATAATCTGTCCTTTACCTCATTTTCGTTAGCCTCTGCACCTTCAGCTAAGATCAGTATCAGGCTTAGAAATAGAATATATTTAAACATAATACATTTCATTTTGATAGCACTTTGATTTTTAAATGAAAGCGCGAATCTCAACTGCACGCAGCACGCTCGTAAATAGACTGAAATGTGGCAATGAATTGGAAGCTTGAGTACCTTTATTTATTTCCCCTGTCCTTATCTTTTAAGCGATTATCAGCAGGTCAGGAAGTCAATATAAATAAAAAAGAGGCAGAGATCAGGCTTTAAGTGACCTTTATTGAACTGCTGATAGACTGTACATATTTTCTCAAAACTCCCTATGCTCGAAATAAAGAACTAAGGATTTTCTAGTAGGTATTGCCACGGACATGGCTAGATCGATTGAGCTAGTCGACCTGATCAAAATAATATATTTACTTTTGACTCTCTTTAATTTCTTACTTGGGGAATACGAAATAATATTAATTAATGAATTTATATAAATATTAGCATCGACTAAACAGATGTTCTACCAAACCAACATCAGTGGAAAACTTACATTCATATGAGAACACTAATTTGGGATAGGTCGGGGTCTGTGCCTGAAAACTAACAAACTAACTATGAAAATTAACGTTGGCTTGTCTTTCTGTTGCAGGCAACAGATCCGGCCGAACCGGACCACTATATTATATATGTAGCTGCCATAGGAACGATCGCTCTATCGGAACTTGGCAATTAGAAAAGGTTAAGACTGCAAGGATATTGAATCTTCGTCGTGCCGAAGTTAGCCCTTCTTTCTTGTTGACTTGGGTTATTTGTTGGTCGTTTTGATCAATTGGTTTTTTTCAACTCATTGGAATTAAGTTTGTCCATTTCCTCTTTTATTGATAAAAACCGTGCTCGTTAGCATTTTATTTGACTGTTTTGTAGAAATAATTCTGATAATTTTATTGCTCTTTGATTGTTTCTCATAATTCAATACGTTTAGCTTTACCTGCAGTTGCATGATTTCTCCGTCTTTACGTTCAACTAAATTGTTATTGCTTTCAATTTTCTCCTTCATTTGATCTACGAACTTTTATAATGGGCCACAGCCTTATACAGGGACGTACTCTTCGCACTGCTCCTCTGTTAGTCTGGTTGCCTTAAAGACTGGTAGAAGTAAAATATATTATCCCCATAAAGACATGTTAAATAAATGATCTCGCTTTTAGCGCAACTTCGTTATGCTGTGCTTTACATATGGCCAGCATAAGATAGATGTATAAAATATATAGAAACGAGACACATTTCATTTGCGTGCACTCTGATCGGCATTAATATGGGTATAGGTCAGAAACTGAATAAAAATCACAAGGCTTGAACCTACTTTGCAGTAATTTTGAATTGTTGAGAGCAAATAACAAAGTTGTGCCGTTCTATTTTGGAGACATTTGGAGCCAGAGACTCTCGTATTGCCCGCGCAAAGTTTGTGTTATGTTAACCAACTGGTTTCGTTTCCATGAAATTGAATCCCAGCTTATCAGGATAATCTGGTTATCAGGTCCGACCAGACCTACCAGGAATTATCGCCCCTTATTCCTACCTACATGAATTCTTTTCGTGTAGTATATAAAAATTACAATAGTTTGCATCACGTTTTGTCTACCGAACTTTCACTCCACCTAATAAAATCGTTGCTATCAGGATACCCTGTGGAAACCCAACGACCATTCCCAGCTATTAGTAGGGGCAGAGCTTGCCGGACAGGCTATATATATTTTCCATCGGGTCGGTGACATCCCATCATAACCTTTTTATTATATCTACTCAATACTCCATTTACTAGCATACATTTCTTTACTTTTTTAAAGCCTCTCTTCTTACCTTATTCCTATTTATTGTATTTTCTTAAGTATTGTGCAATCCAAATGTATGTAACAGGCAGAAGAAAGCATCTCCAACCCCATAGACTATATATATTTTGGATCAGCATCAATAGCCGAGTCGATCTAGCCAGTCTGTCTGTCCGTCCGTCCGTATGTATGAACGCAAGGATCTCAGAACCTATAAGAGCTAGAGACTTGAAATTAGATGTATGTGCTCCTGGTGCCTGCGCAGATCGAGTTTGTTTCCGATAATCGATAACTTACTCCGTTTCCAAGCAATCGATAAAAATATCGATATCGATATCCTGTTTTTTGGACAATTTTGGTAAATAATAAGAGCTAGAGTCACCAAACTTGACATATAGCTTCTAAAATAGAAAATATGTATATGCATTTGATGTTGGAAGAAGGTTCAGGGTATTCCCTAGTCGGGAGCTCCCGACTAGAACTTCTTACTTGTTTTTTATTCATATGCATTACATAATTAGGCCATTAATAAATAAATAAATAAGGCATTTTTAAGGAACATGAGTTGTAAGATTGTCATCTAAATTATGCACATTCACTGAATTAGAGCTTGTGGCCACATGCTACCACACACGAGTAGCCCTGCGACTTTGTGGCCTTAAACGAGGTACATATATATATATGTGACATTTAGTGTGGCAAGCAATTTATTTCATTCATTTCAAATCATTCGAAAACTATGCTTGCCCGTGGCTGCTCCGGCAGCTTCCTTTCATTATTTATGGGATTTTGTGGAGCGGCAACATCGACGCACTCAGCGTGTGATTGTTTATGCTGACCGGAACCCCTGGCAACCCTCGACTGTTCCCGTTGCCGTTCATTCCATATGGAACTGCAGTTGGTGCAATCATAATAATATTTTTGCAAGTGCGCCGCTTGCATCGATGGTCGCAATGGTTCGTCCAATGGTTGCCGGCAGAACTGGAGACTGGAGACTGGCTGACTGGCTGACTGGATGACTGTGCCTCTGTTGTCATCGCATTATTATTCCGCTTCGACGTTTTCTGCTCTTTTCCTTTGCTACTTTACTATTATGTGTTTCTTTGATTTCATTTTTTCCTTTTCGCTTGCCATAAATGGTTCATAAAATTTTATATGCTCGTCCATAAAGGAAACCGTTTGCTCCACTTTCCACTCGCAGCAGCATGCGATGCAGTCCGCATTGAAAATAAGTTAGGAGAGCTTCACTCTGCGACAGCCAGGGCCAACAAAGTAGATATTGAGAGGTCTCTAAAGACAAATAAATGGCAAAATCAACAATTGATGTCTTTCATATGTTAAAATTGAGTTCCATTTGTTAATTCCGTGCTACAGATTTGTCAGATATGCCAGCACTATTTGCTGTGCAACAATATTCGCTTGTCCTGCTTTATTATCATCCAATATGATGTTACTGTAGTCTAGCAACTGCTACTGCTACCAGGGTAAAGATCGGATGGGTAAGATAATTAGGTAAGCTATCTAGCGTAGATATATACACATGGCGGATGGTGTCCACGTTCATTTTGCTTAGACTAGACTAGGTTATATTTTGTTTGGCTGAGGATTTGTCGGTAAACACTGTCACAACTTTATTATCACATGTCTGAGAGGATTAGATTAAAATGTATTTATCAAAGACCATGAGTCTTGCATATTATTTCTATATATAACACGGCACAGCCCAAACCGTAAAAGCTAGCAAATTTTTTCCTATAGTTACTTAATGTAATGAAGGTGCACGTTGAGTCGGAGTTTTTGTGAAAAACGATTGTATGAAACTTTTTTGTTTACCATCCGATCGGGCTCAAACTCATTTTCAAATATCCTTGTAAGAATTTTATGTTTTATTACAAAGCTAGGGCAAGGGCAATATAAATATTAGAATTTTTAATTGCAATGCAATGCACAATGAAATTATATTCATTTTATTTGCTAAAAAATAATTCACTTAATTTATTTAATTTATATTAAATTTTGTTTACACTTTCTTATATATATTATGCTTGGTAAGGGAACATTTATTTAATGAGCATCCTTTAAATCTTACAGCCAACCTGACAAACTCTTAGGGTTGTATATTTTCTGTATCTTCAAGAAAACTGTGTCTTCTGCTTGCTAGGATGTCTCATTAAATGGGAATGTGATGCGATGATTCCAATGCAGCTTACCTAGGCTCAACTCTGGGCTACTCTTTCAATTGGAGCACCTCCTGGATGTTTACTTTGATGGCTATTAATATAATTTCTAGCTAATTGACAGATCGAATTGCTCTTCCCGTGTTTCCGCATACATTTCCCTGTGGCCAGTCGCCAGTTGCATTTTGTTTAGAAGCCGTCAAATGAAAGCCACTTGAAATTGCATTGTTTTACTGAAATGGTTTCGAAATCGCTTTGATGCTAACTCTGGCCAACTCTGGCTAACTCTGGCTAACTCTGGCGACTTGGCTCTGGCCACATATATCCACGGCTCGTATCTTCCGCGTTGCCAAAATCAAATTGAGGGGCTTATGCAACCGGCCCAGCAAGCGGCGACAGCCGCCGCCACCAAAAACAACGCCGGCCAAATCGCAGTTGGAATCGGTGCTTACGTGACCGGCCGAACGACTCAATCGCAGGCAGCAAACAAAAAACAAAAAACCGAAACAAAAAACAAAAAATCGTATAGAAAACTAAAAGAAAAAAAAAGTGAAAAATTACCGGTGCATGGTGCAAGCCGTTGCCATGCCCGCTCGCCCACAGATATTCGTTTTAGTATTCGTTTCTTTTTTCTGTTTCAGTTTTTTTTTTTTTTTTTTTGTTTTCATATATTGTAGTTGTATCTTATTATCAACTCGCGCCGAGTTCGGTGGCCGTTCATGAACTACAAACGCTGCTGGCTGCGTTTTGCGCTTTGCGCTTTGCATTGCACTGCAATTGGCAGCCGCGGCCTGTCCTCGATGCGGTTGTTGGCTCTTGGGCATTGCCGTATCTGACGGATGCACAGGCGAACGCACTGCGCCGAAAACTGAAAACCACGCGTGAGTGTGTGCAACCAGATAATCGACTTGTAGATACTCTGAACTGATTTCGATCGGCTTGCTGCAGATTGTAAACAAATTTAATTGACTTGTAGATACTCTGCATTGCTGTTGAAAGTTAAGATCTCCATTTGAACAAATATGATTTAAAAAAACGCTTTATTTAAAGACAAAAGCTACTTGCTAACATCTAGTTAAAGTTGAAGCTTATAG